GGGAACAGAGGGGAGCTGCAGAGGGGGGGTCCCTACTGCTCTCATCTTCTGGGTGGGGGCTCTGCTCAAGCAGGGCAGGGGGGCAGGCTGAGCTGGAAGAGGGTTTGCCCCACAGAGACGGGGTCTCCTGAGGTTTAAGGTGGCCGGTCAGAGGGTTTACTTACCTTTAACAGAAAGGCAACTCCTCTGCATCACTGCACCATTGATCAGACACTTATATCCACCCTGATCCTGCAGTCTGACACCATTAATGACCAAAGAGAAGTTGTTCTGTCGGATGGATCCAAGCTGAGTCCGGTTAACAAAGTGAGGATGTTCACACCAAGTCCCATTTTGAAACAGACAGACAGTCGTGCCTCCAAAAATCCAAAACACCTCAACTTCACTGGTGTCTTTATCTGCTGGTCCATCACAGGGCAGTGTGACAGTATCTCCAGGACGAGCATCTGCAATTGATTAACATACAGAACAAAGTCATTAAAAGATTAGTATTATAATTACACATAATTCTATCCCTCCACATTGATTGGTCCATTCATTATACCTGGGGAATTTGTCCTAATTACGTACCACAGCTTAAATTCAGCTCAATCAGCATCATCACACAGAGCAGCTACAGTGTAACCAGGCAGCTAAGTTACAGGAACACAGTGAGAGACCCGACCGTCCCCTATAAAGGGGGGGATTTACAGCCGACACCCATGTCAGACACTCACACCATCATGTAATTAATAAAACAGATCAGAATTAACATACATAGCTAATTAGCCCACAGAGTCAGTGTGAGGCATCTACTCACATAAATCTGTGCCGAAGACAGCAGGGAGATGGTGTACAAGGCAGAGGAGCAGAAGTGTGACCATCCATCTGCAGCTAAAGATCAAGATGAAAGAGGTCCTCCATTTAAACATTAAAACATTCTCATCCTGACCATCTGTATTAATGTGTATTTATAACCTAAGTTAAAATCAGGTCTTGATCACTGACTAGTAGTTAAATCTGTTCTTAGAAACTAGTAAAACACTGACAGCTATGGATGTACGGTACATCNAAATGCTTGCATGTTCCCTAATAGAAAAAGTGAAGTTGATACCAAAGCGTGAAATTCAATTTGAAATATATCTATCCCCCCCCCCGCAGTAGCTTTCATTGATTGTTTTGCAGTTACTTGGGGAATTATTTATTTATTTACCCACGTGGTAATGACCTCAAGCAAACTGTGTTTGAGTTATTAGCCAAAGGAGAGTGACGGTGAGTGTGGTAGATGGTCTGGTCTCCACAGTCACCTGACTTCAACCCAACTGAAATAAGGTGCTTTTGATTTTCTAAGCAATTTTTGGTTACTACATAATTACATATGATTTTATAGTTTTGATGTCTTCACTTTCTTAAAGGTAAAAAACAATGAAAAAGACTCCCCTCCCCCCTCCTGGCATATCCAGACTTCTAATTCACAGTCAGAAAAAAGCACAGCTAAATCCCAGCCAAATCCTTCTAGAAACCCAAGGTAACCCCAGTGACACACATGCTAACACACTTAGCATCAAAGCACAGTAACAGACAGCTTTCCTGGCCTGACTTTAAATAATTACTTTGTCCTGCATTAATACTTATTGGTGTCACAGCAGCAGAGCAGACAGTGTTAATATCTGTAGTTTCATGTCAGACAGAATTTCATACCTGGTGAATTCCATTTTTGATTGTTGAAGAGGAAAACAATTATCCAGAGATAGAAATGATCCACTTCCTGCCCGTCAGGTAGGAAGTGAAGCAGCCAAGGGTGTTGAGCCTTGAGGGGAGGATGCTGCGTGACAGCGCCGAAGGCCGCAC